CACTTTAAAATGTTATTTTTATTCTAACTGTAATGATTCACACTGAGATTTTGTCAAAACATTTGTATTTCTACAACTCAAAAATAAGTAATTATATATAAAAATATACTTTTAAAGAACAATTTAGTTTAAAATTCATATAAATTACAAAAATCTAAACAATATTTGGTATTTTTTTGGTTTAAAGACTTGAAGTGACTTGAAACTCAAATCAGACAACTTGGACTCGACTCGGACTTAAGGACCTGTGACTCGAGACTCGACTTGGACTTGTCTGTGTTTGACTTGGGACTTGACTCGGACTTGAGCTCAAAGACTTGGTGCGTCCTGTTGCTCTGCGTCAGTTCATTTTTTAATCCAGCAGATGGAGCTGTAGGACAAACCAACACCGTGTCAGAGCCTGAGACTGACCTGAGTCTGACCTGAGTCTGACCTGAGACTGACCTGAGTCCTGACCTGAGACTGACCTGAGTCTGACCTGAGACTGACCTGAGTCTGACCTGAGTCTGACCTGAGTCCTCATCCTCCACCTCCAGTCTGGACTCGACTTTTATGGTTTTTTTTTTAGAACAATTCTGTCCCAAAAACATTTTTCTTGAGCAGAAATCAGAGTTTTTCCTTTTAAACCTGCAGCTGCAGTGAAGAAAGTTTTGAACAGAAATGTTTTTGTTTATGGAAAACTGCAAATCTTTAAAAATTCTGCCTTTAGACTAAAAGACCCGACTGTCTTCTCTTCACCTTTTTTTTTTTTTTTATTTTATTAATTTAATTTTACTTTTTATTTTTCACCATCATAATTATTATTATCTAAAACATTTGTATTTCTACAACTCAAAAATAAGTAATTATATATAAAAATATACTTTTAAAGAACAATTTAGTTTAAAATTCATATAAATTACAAAAATCGAAACAATATTTGGTATTTTTTTGGTTTAAAGACTTGAAATGACTTGAAGCTCAAAGCAGACGACTTGGACTCGACTTGGACTTGTCTGTGTTTGACTTGGGACTTGACTCGGACTTGAGCTCAAAGACTTGGTGCGTCCTGTTGCTCTGCGTCAGTTCATTTTTGAATCCAGCAGATGGAGCTGTAGGACAAACCAACACCGTGTCAGAGCCTGAGACCTGAGTCTGACCTGAGTCCTGACCTGAGTCCTGAGACTGTCCTGAGTCTGACCTGAGACTGACCTGAGTCTGACCTGAGTCCTGACCTGAGTCTGACCTGAGACTGACCTGAGTCCTGACCTGAGTCCTGACCTGAGACTGACCTGAGACTGACCTGAGTCCTGACCTGAGACTGACCTGAGTCTGACCTGAGACTGACCTGAGTCTGACCTGAGACTGACCTTAGTCTGACCTGAGTCTGACCTGAGTCCTGAGGACTTGAGGGTCAGAAGGACTTGAGGGTCAGAAGGACTTGAGGGTCAGAAGGACTTGAGGTTCAGAAGGACTTGAGGGTCAGAAGGTCTTGAGGGTCAGAAGGACTTGAGGGTCAGAAGGACTTGAGGTTTTCCAGCGTCTCCACTTTTTCTCACTGACAGAATTTCAAAACTTTTCCAGGATTTTTACATGAAAAACTGATCAAACTTTTACTAAACTCAGAGACTTTTTCCACAAACTCAACTCCAGAACCAAGACCTGGACCAGGACCGGACCAAGACCTGGACCAGGACTGGACCAAGACCTGGACCAGGACTGGACCAGGACTGAACCAAGACCTGGACCAGGACTGGACCAAGACCTGGACCAGGACTGGACCAAGACCTGGACCAGGACTGGACCAACAGCTGGACCAGGACTGAACCAACAGCTGGACCAGGACTGGACCAAGACCTGGACCAGGACTGGACCAAGACCTGGACCAAGACCTGGACCAGGACTGGACCAAGACCTGGACCAGGACTGAACCAAGACCTGGACCAGGACTGGACCAAGACCTGGACCAGGACTGAACCAAGACCTGGACCAGGACTGAACCAAGACCTGGACCAGGACTGAACCAAGACCTGGACCAGGACTGAACCAAGACCTGGACCAGGACCGGACTAGGACTGGACCAGGACTGAACCAAGACCTGGACCAGGACTGAACCAAGACCTGGACCAGGACCGGACCAAGACCTGGACCAGGACTGGACCAAGACCAGTACTTTTGTCTCCAGTTGATAAACGCGTCGCTGAATTTTAAAGGAACAAAGTGGAACATGTCGCTCCCACTTCTGTTTGTACTTTTATGTAACTGAAGTACTGCGATACTCCAAAGTACTACAGTAATACGCAGTACAACGCAGTAACAGGAACATGAATCTTCATAACAAAATGACTCAACACTTTCAAATGTGAATCTTTGTTCTGCTCGTCGTGATTCACTCAGATCCTTTTTAAACATCTGAACAACTTAAATTATTACTTATATAAATACTCATAAATACACTGAACTTTTAGAATCTGTGTCGTTTGTTCATTTGTTTTTCAAAATAAAACCAAAAATACGAAAAAACAACAATTTTCTTCAGTATTTGTTTCTAAAACCAATGAAAAAACTGAAAAAGATTCGTTTTTTTCATTTTTTGATTTTATGTTTAAATGAAAAAAAAGGGAAAAAACAGATAACGACCGTTTACGAGACTCAACCAGGACTGAAAACGATTCAGTCCTGGTCTGGTTCTGGTCTCAATCACGGCCTGGTCCTGATCTAGTCCGGCCTCAGTCCTGGTTCTGGTCCTGGACCGTTTTTAGTCCTGGTTGAGTTCAGCATCACAGTTTAAGTCTCAGTTTTTTCCATTTTTCATTTAAAAACAAAATCCAAAACTGAAAACACAAATCATGATGTGTTTTTTTATTTTGGTTTTGGAGACAAATAATGAAGAAAACTGTTTTCTTATTTTTGGTTTTATTTTGAAAAACAAATGAACGAATGAAACAGATTTTTTTTTAGGAACAATTTAGTTAAAAATTCATATAAATTGCTAAAATCTAGGCTGTATTTGGTATTTTTTTGGTTTAAAGACTTGACTCAGACTCGGTCTCACCTCCGCCAGTCGAGTCATGGAAGAAACACGTGTGATCATTTTAAGAATGGAACAAAAACTGAACTCTGGTGATGTCGTATCGTCAAAGTTGTGGTAATAATATCGTGGAGCTTCACAATAAATCGAATCACAAGTGTCTCTCCTCACACTCGCCCCAAGACATTTTATTGATTTTCAAATAAATTCTCACCAAGAAAATAAATGTTTGGGGAGAGGAAATAACCTCGAGTATCATTTGTGTTCAAATCTTTTTATTTTTGTATGAGACTATTTTCTGTGAACCATTAACTTACGAGTTTATGTTTAGTGCTTTTATTTTGAAGGGTTTATCTTTGTCTCTAGTTTTTATCGTTGTTGATGTTAAGATGAATGTAAATTTGACTCAAACTTGCGCTGAGTTTTATGAACGTGTATTTATTTCCACACTGTGTGTTGCTCCTTTCAGCTCTTAGAGGAAACTACATAGACCATGATCCTTTGCTCCACTCACTGCAGACGACAACAATAACAGTTCAACACTTTTAACTCTTGGTTCTTTGGATTAAAACTTGTCAAGACGTTTGAAGAGGAAAAAGTAAAATATGACAGAGAGTCTGAACTCAATTTTACACTTTAAGACCTTTTTTAGACGAATTAAATGAAAGTTAAGACCAACATCGTAACGCGAGAAAAAAAACACTGGATTCAACTGTAAGAATAAAGATCAAACAACTAGAGACAAACGTAGAATCTAAAAGAGCCACAGTCCAAACCAGGACTAAACCAGGTCTAAACCAGGACTAAACCAGGTCCCAAACCAGGTCTAAACCAGGACTAAACCAGGTCTAAACCAGGTAAACCAGGACTAAACCAGGACTAAACCAGGTCAACTAACCAGGACTAAACCAGGACTAAACCAGGACTAAACCAGGTCCAGGTCTAAACCAGGACTAAACCAGGTCTAAACCAGGAACTAAACCAGGACTAAACCAGGACTAAACCAGGAAAACCAGGACTAAACCAGGTCTAAACCAGGTCCAAACCAGGACTAAACCAGGACTAAACCAAAAACCAGGTCCTAAAATAAACCAGGTACTAAACCAGGTCCAAACCAGGACTAAACCAGGAACTAAACCAGGTCTAAACCAGGACTAAAACCAGGACTAAACCAGGTCTAAACCAGGACTAAACCAGGACTAAACCAGGTCTAAACCACCAGGTCCTAAACCAGGACTAAACCAGGTCCAAAACCAGGTCTAAACCAGGACTAAACCAGGTCTAAACCAGGACTAAACCAGGTAAACCAGGACTAACCAGGTCCAAACCAGGACTAAACCAGGTCTAAACCAGGACTAAACCAGGTCCAAACCAGGACTAAACCAGGTCTAAACCAGGTCCAAACCAGGTCTAAACCAGGACTAAACCAGGTCTAAACCAGGACTAAACCAGGTCTAAAACCAGGACTAAACCAAACCTAAACCAGGACTAAACCAGGTCTAAATCCTGCTGTGTGGACGTGTTTCTTTTATCAATAATATTTTTAATTTGGTTCAGTAAAGATTGGACTTTTTATTTTCTTTTATCAGACAAAACTTCTCATGTGAAGATTTCCTCGTCTTTGTTTCTCTACAGCAAATCAAGTAATCCAGAGTAATCAGATTACATTATATTTATTGATATTTTGTGGTGCGGATCGTGAGACTTGGATTTTCTCCCGTTTTAAAATAATAAACGTCCCAGACCAGGGTCCAGACCGGGTCCAGACCGGGTCCAGACCGGGTCCAGACCGGGTCCAGGGTCCAGACCAGGGTCCAGAGACCCAGGGTCCAGACGGCGGGTCCAGGACGGGTCCAGGGTTCCAGAACAGGATCCAGACCAGGATTCCACCAGGACTAAACGATGCTTTGTGGATCGTGTCTCTTCTTCTGTCAATAATATTTTTAATCAGGTTAAATGAAGTGTGTGTGTTTTTATTTTCTTTTATCAGACAAAACTCAGATGTTGGTGCGATGAGACAAACGTGGACAGAGACAAAGAGACAAAGAGTCGGAGTCGTTGAGTTCGGTACCAAACTCTTCACAGAAGAGAGCACAGGTTTTATTTTCGTTTCACTTTATTCCCAAGTTGAAAAGGCACCACCCGGTAACTCGCGTTCACGGCCGGAGGTCAAAACAGGAGGAGGAAACCGAAGGAACCGAAGGAACCGAAGGAACCGAAGGAACCGAAGGAACCGAAGAAACCGAAGAAACCGAAGAAACCGAAGAAACCGAAGAAACCGAAGAGCGCTCGCCCCGACGTGAAGCCACCGAGAGCAGCATCGACGAGGACGAGGAGGAGGAGTAGTGCCGGGGTCGGAGGTCGCCCAGGAGGAGAGTAGTGATGGGGTCGGAGGTCACACGGAGCGGGCGCCCTTCGGTCTCTCGGGTTCGTCTGACGTACGGAAGAGGAGACGTCGCGCGGCGGAAGAACGGCCGACCGGAAAAAAAAGGAACCGGAGGATCTGGAACGGAACGGGAGGCGACGGCACGCGAACGACCAGCGGGGGGCGCCATGCGGTCCACTCTGCTCCGCCGCAGAGAAGAAGCTTCTTTTCTTTAATTCATCAGGGTTTTTTTCATGTCGAGTGCAAAACATCACAAATGAACAAATCTGTATTCAAGTCATGTAATATACAAGAATGAGGCTTTACAAATGTGCTGTACAGTTCGACTGAAGTTTACACCACAGCCACAGGGACGCGGGGGCACGGGGGCAGAGGGTCCAGGGACGGGTCAGGGACGGGTCAGGGAGGGTCAAGGGAGGGGCAAAGGAGGGTCCAGAGAGGTTTCAGAGAGTCCAGGGAGGGGTCAGGGGCGGGTCCAGTGGGTCCAGAAGATCCAGGGCAGATCCAGGAAGAGTTTAGAGAGTCCAGAGGAGGTCCAGAGGAGGTCCAGAGGAGGTCCAGAGGAGGTCCAGAGGAGGTCCAGAGAGGGTCAAGTTAAGAGTCCAAAGAGGTTTCAAAGAGTCCAGGGAGGGTGGGTCCAGGAAGGGTTTAGAGAGTCCAGAGAGGGGCTAGAGGGTCCGGAGGAGGTCCAGAGAGGAGTCAGAGAGTCCAGGGAGGGTGACAAGGGTCCAGGGAGTCCAGGAGGACTTAGAGAGGGTCCTGGGTGGGTCCAGGAAGGGTTTAGAGAGTCCAGAGGAGGGGTCAGACAGTCCATGGAGGGGCTAGAAGGTCCAGGGAGTCCAGGAGGACTTAGAGAGGACCTGGGTGGGACCTGGGTGGGTTTAGAGGATCCGGAGAGAGTCCAGAGGAGGTCCAGGGTCCAGGGAGGGGTCGGTGAGTCCAGGGAGGGTCCAGGGACAGTCCAGAGAGGCGCCATCTTGAGACTGGCCGCAGAACTGACGAGTAGCACCTGAAGGACCGAGGACGAGGAGACGAGGAAGAAGAGGACGAGGAAGAGGAGTGGACCAGAGCGACGTAAACTCCACGGCCACTGTGCGAAGACGAGGAATGATAGAAGAGGAAGAGGAGGAGGAGGAGGAGAGAGGGAGAAGAGGAGGAGTGAGGGAGGGAGGAGACGAAGAGGAAGAGGAGGAGGAGGAGGAGGAGGAGGAGGTGACCGGAGCTACGTAACCTCCATGGCCACTGTGTTTTCTGACAGACTGTTGAGTGTCCCTTTCTCCTGCTCGTGATTCTCCCTGAAACAAAACAAACACAAAGAGGAGTTAAAACCACGTCTTTGGTCCAGATGCCCTCCCAGATCAGGTCTTTTGGCCCAGATGCCCTCCCAGATCAGGTCTTTTGGCCCAGATGCCCTCCCAGATCAGGTCTTTTGGCCCAGATGCCCTCCCAGATCAGGTCTTTTGGCCCAGATGCCCTCCCAGATCAGGTCTTTTGGCCCAGATGCCCTCCCAGATCAGGTCTTTTGGCCCAGATGCCCTCCCAGATCAGGTCTTTTGGCCCAGATGCCCTCCCAGATCAGGTCTTTTGGCCCAGATGCCTCCCAGATCAGGTCTTTGGCCCAGATGCCCTCCAGGTCCCAGATCAGGTCTTTTGGCCCAGATGCCCTCCCAGATCAGGTCTTTTGGCCCAGAGATCAGGTCTTTTGGCCCAGATGCCCTCCCAGATCAGGTCTTTTGGCCCAGATGCTCCTCCCAGATCAGGTCTTTTGGCCCAGATGCCCTCCCAGATCAGGTCTTTTGGCCCAGATGCCCTCCCAGATCAGGTCTTTTGGCCCAGATGCCCTCCCAGATCAGGTCTTTTGGTCCAGATGCCCTCCCAGATCAGGTCTTTTGGCCCAGATGCCCTCCCAGATCAGGTCTTTTGGTCCAGATGCCCTCCCAGATCAGGTCTTTTGGCCCAGATGCCCTCCCAGATCCTGCCGTCGGGTTGGTCCTGGGAGAGGTTTGACCCGGTGACCCTCTGGAGACAGAGGATTTAAATTGACCCCAAGACCTGATCACAACTGCACACACAAGACACAGTTTAGACTAAAACAAATCTGGAACCACAACGATTAGACCTGGTTTAGTCCCTAGTTTAGACCTGGTCTAAACCAGGTCTAAATCAGATTTAGACCTAGTTTAGACACAATTTAGTCCTGGTTTAGTCCTGGTTTAGACCTAGTTTAGACCTAGTTTAGACCTAGTTTAGACCTAGTTTAGACCTAGTTTAGACCTAGTTTAGACCTAGTTTAGACACAACTTAGACCTGGTTTTAAACCTAATTTAGTCCTGGTTTAGTCCTGGTTTAGACCTGGTTTAGACCTGGTTTAGTCCTGGTTTAGTCCTGGTTTAGTCCTGGTTTAGTCCTGGTTTAGACCTGGTTTAGACACAACTTAGACCTGGTTTTAAACCTAATTTAGTCCTGGTTTAGACCTGGTTTAGACCTGGTTTAGACCTGGTTTATGGTCTAAACCAGGTCTAAACTACGGTCTAAACTACGGTCTAGTTTAGACCTAGTTTAGACACAACTTAGACCTGGTTTTAAACCTAGTTTAGTCCTGGTTTAGTCCTGGTTTAGACCTAGTTTAGACCTAGTTTAGACCTGGTTTAGACCTAGTTTAGACACAACTTAGACCTGGTTTTAAACCTAATTTAGTCCTGGTTTAGTCCTGGTTTAGACCTGGTTTAGTTTAGTCCTGGTTTAGTCCTGGTTTAGTCCTGGTTTAGTCCTGGTTTAGTCCTGGTTTAGACCTGGTTTAGACCTGGTTTAGACACAACTTAGACCTGGTTTTAAACCTAATTTAGTCCTGGTTTAGTCCTGGTTTAGTCCTGGTTTAGTCCTGGTTTAGTCCTGGTTTAGACCTGGTTTAGACCTGGTTTAGACACAACTTAGACCTGGTTTTAAACCTAGTTTAGTCCTGGTTTAGTCCTGGTTTAGACCTAGTTTAGACCTAGTTTAGACCTGGTTTAGACCTGGTTTAGACCTGGTTTAGACCTAGTTTAAACACAACTTAGACCTGGTTTTAAACCTAATTTAGACCTGGTTTAGACCTGGTTTAGACCTGGTTTAGACCTGGTTTAGACCTGGTTTAGACCTGGTTTAGACACAACTTAGACCTGGTTTTAAACCTAGTTTAGTCCTGGTTTAGACCTGGTTTAGACCTAGTTTTAGACCTAGTTTAGACCTGGTTTAGACCTGGTTTAGACCTAGTTTAAACACAACTTAGACCTGGTTTTAAACCTAATTTAGACCTGGTTCAGACCTTGGTAAAAGTCCATTCTTTTGCATGTTGACGTTCTTTATCTTGAGCGTGTTGTTGTGTTGTTGTCGTGTTGTTGTCGTGTTGTTGTCGTGTTGTTGTTGTTGTGTCGTGTTGTGTTGTTGTCGTGTTGTTGTTGTTGTGTTGTGTCGTGTTGTGTTGTTGTTGTGTTGTCGTGTTGTGTTGTGTTGTGTTGTTGTTGTCGTGTTGTTGTTGTCGTTTGTGTGTTGTGGTCGTGTTGTTGTCGTGTTGTCGTGTTGTGTTGTTTGTGGTCGTGTTGTTGTGGTCGTGTTGTCGTGTTGTCGTGTGTGTTGTTGTTGTTGTTGTTGTTGTCGTGTTGTGTTGTTGTCGTCGTGTTGTTGTCGTGTTGTTGTCGTGCTCTTGAGCAGCTCACCTGGGCCCCAGGCTGAGGGCGGCGGTGGGGGCCGGCGTCGGGGCTTTGGGCTTCTGACAGTGGGACAGTTTGAGCGGCGAGGGGCCCACGGAGGAGGGGAGGGTCCTGGAGCCGTGCAGGCGTTTCCCCGGGACCGGGGCTCCCGCGCGGACGCCGTGACCGTGGGCGGAGCCGGCGTTGGCGTGGGGGGCGGAGCCGTTGTTGCTGTGGGGGGCGGTGGAGGCGGTGGAGCTGGGCAGGAGCGCGCTGGGGCTGGGGGCTGGAGCTGCGGGGGACGGGGACGCCGAACTCGACAGGTGAGACGCTTTGTACACACCTGAAACAGACGGAGAGTTAGTCACGCTCGGAGGGTCAGTCACGCTCGGAGGGTCAGTCACGCTCGGAGGGTCAGTCACGCTCGGAGGGTCAGTCACGCTCGGAGGGTCAGTCACGCTCGGAGGGTCAGTCACGGAGGGTCAGTCCCGCTCGGAGGGTCAGTCACGCTCGGAGGGTCAGTCACGCTCGGAGGGTCAGTCACGCTCGGAGGGTCAGTCACGCTCGTCAACAACATTTACACACATCAGAAACAAAACTTTACAACCATCAAAAAATCTAACTGTCTCCTGCTCCGTCCATTTTGATTGGTCCAGAGTGTCGAGAGTCAAAACGATCTGAGCGTCTGTTTGTAACAAGTGAAAAAGTCGCTCCAGGTGCAGAAATTTCTCAAATAAATGAAAAATGACACACGTTGGTCTGTGTGTTATTTTTATATTCAGGTTTATTTGAGTCCAAATGTCCAAATCCAAATATAATAAACTCCATGGAAACGCAGAAGTGACGTGTCTCTGTGACCTGGACCTGACTCCAGCTGTTTCCACGACCTGCACCAGTCAAGTCATTACACTTTACTTTTGTTGGGATATTTTAAGTTTATTTACAGACTTACAGATATTTTGCACTTTTGTAGCTAAGGCCCTAAATAAAATATTTTAAGTCCAAAATGCTGTTTGTACATGTTTGTGTGTGTTTGTATGAAAGACTGAATTTTATTTTACTTTTTTATTTATTTATTTTTTTAATTTCTGGTCCTGTAGTTTTTATTACAGCCACATGACACGACTCCAGCAGCAGATTGTCAAATATCAGGTTGTAGTGACAAAAAGCACGTGTAACACTTCATTAAAGGGTAAAAGGGGGTTTAAGAACAAAATTAAGAACAAAATTCAGGTGAGGACAAATGTATAACAATTGCTCTTAGGTGTGAAAGGTTAAAATGTCCAAAATAAATCTTTCAAACTATTGCAGTTACAGGAGTTATTTAGAAATTTGGAGTTTGTTAAAATGTCTGAATTTCTGCAGCGAATCCTGAATTATGTGTAAAAATATGAGGAGAACTTCTCAGGGGGAGGGGTGGGGGTCAGTACCTGAGGGGGTGGGGGTCAGTACCTGAGGGGGAGAGGGGGTGGGGGTCAGTACCTGAGGGGGTGGGGGTCAGTACCTGAGGGGGTGGGGGTCAGTACCTGAGGGGGGGTGGGGGTCAGTACCTGAGGGGGAGGGGGGGGTGGGGTCAGTACCTGAGGGGGTGGGGGTCAGTACCTGAGGGGGTGAGGGGTGGGGGAGTACCTGAGGGGTGGGGTCAGTACCTGAGGGGGTGGGGGTCAGTACCTGACCTGAGGGGGTGGGGGTCAGTACCTGAGGGGGAGAGGACTCCGTTGACGGCGCCTCCTGGTGGCAGGTCGTCTTTACTCTTCAGGGCGAGCAGTTGATCGGCCGTGACCAGAGCAGAAGCAGCGACCTGAGCAGAGGCCTGGTCCAGAGTCACTCCAGGAGGCTGCGCGCACACACACACACACACACACACACAGAGTCAGTCAGATGCCCTTCCATGCCCCTCCCCCCCGTGGCTCCGGTGCGTCAGACTCACCGGGGGGTGGTGCTGCTGCGCCTGCTCCAGTTGGTGTTTCTTCATCAGAGCGAGTTGTTCCTGGTGAAGTTGGAACTGTTCTGACGTCAGCACTGGAACAAAAACAAACTGTTACACAAAACCTCCAACCAGCAGACGTCCACCTCCTCCCACGTAACTCACCAAAGAACATCTGACACACAGATTGTGCTAATTCTACTATTTAATTCATTAAATGGTTATTACTACTGGAAAAGTGTCGTTTTGAGCACTAATACACAGGTAAAAGTTTATCTAAACACAATGGACTCCAGGCAACTCCAAAACAGTAGAAAAAGTTAATCAAACAAAGGCCTTTTAATTAGATTTTTCCTCGTGCGATGTGTTCATTTTTTCTACTGTTTTGGAGTTGCCTGGAGTCCGTTGTGTTTTGAGTTTTGATCCTTTTGTCCAAGAGCTTCCCTCTATTTGCTCCTACTGATTCAAACACCTGCAGCAAACACACACATTTTTGTTCTTTCTGCACAGATAAAGGTTTATGTTTTATCCAACTGAAGCCCGGACCCAAGCCCGGACCCAAGCCCGGACCCAAGCCCGGACCCAAGCCCGGACCCAAGCCCGGACCCAAGCCCGGACCCAAGCCCCACACTGAGGGATGGTTGCAGCATTCAACCTGCCTTTCAAACTGGGTGCGGTGTGGGTGCAGGGTGGGGTCTGGGTGCAGGTGGGTGCAGGGTGGGGTCTGGGTGCAGGGTGGGGTCAGGGTGGGTGTGGGGTGCAGGGTGGGTGGGGTCTGGTGCAGGGTGCAGGGTGCAGGGTGTGGGGGTCTGGGTGCAGGGTGTGTGGGGTCTGGGTGCAGGGTGTGGGTCTGGGTGCAGGGTGTGGGGTCTGGGTGCAGGGTGTGCTGGGTAGGGTGCTGGGTGCAGGGTGTGGGGTCTGGGTGCAGGTGTGGGGTCTGGGTGCTGGGTGCAGGGTGTGGGGGTGGGTGCAGTGGGTGCTGGGTGTGGGGGGTCTGGGTGCAGGGTGGGTGCAGGGTCTGGGTGCAGGGTGGGTGGGGTGTGTGGGGCTGTGTGGGTGCTGGGTGCAGGTGTGGGGTCTGGGTGCAGGGTGGTGGGGTGTGGGGTCTGGGTGTGCAGGGTGCTGGGTGCTGGGTGCAGGGTGCAGTGTGGGGTCTGGGTGCAGGGTGCAGTGTGGGTGGGGGTGGGTCAGGGTGGGTGCAGTGTGCAGTGGGGTCTGGGTGCAGGGTGCAGTGGGGTCTGGGTGCAGGGTGGGGTGTCTGGGTGCAGGGTGCAGGGTGCAGTGTGGGGTGTGGGGTCTGGGTGCAGTGGGAGGGGTGACTGGTTCCAGTGAGGACCGGGTGCAGTCCAGTCTGTCCGGCTGTACTCACCCTGGCGTTCGGGCTGGTTGGCGGCCCTGCCTCCCCGGGGGCAGGCGCGCGGGGCGGGTTGTGCGGGGGGGGGCTTGTGTCGGCGGCTCATCCTCCTGAACAGGGGGTGGGCGTGGTCGAGCTGGGACAGGGGCAGAGTCCGGGGCCTGAAGTGTCTCCAGCGGCAGGCCTTTATGCTCAGCAGCAGGCGAGTCAGGTCGGTGTGCCAGTCCCTCTCCGGCGGGCGCTCCGGGTCGGCGCCGAGGGGGGCACTCGCTGGCACGCGGGGGGAGGAGGGGGGGGCACGCGCTGGCACAAGGGGGAGGGGAGGGAGGGGAGGGGGGCAGGTCCGGTCGCTCTGGAGACAGTTCCTGATAAACGGGGTCCAGGTCCGAGTGCGCCCGGTCCAGAAGAACCCTGAGGAACACAAAGAGCACGTTTAAACCACGTCTTCAATCGAGACCAGTACGTTCACAGTTTAATGGTCTACGTGAAAATAATTCTGAATAAACTGATTAAATGTTCTTTAGTTAATGTGTCTCAGCGTCTGGGGGTGGGGAAGGTTCTGATTGGACAGAGACACCAACGGATTTAAACACACTTCAGCTGCTCCCGGCTTTTCTTTCATCTCGGTTTGTCGTTCCTCCACGGACACAAACACCATCCAAACATTTTATTGCGAAGCAGCAGCTGGAGAATTCTCCTCACGCTTCACGTCTGTCAGCTGAGGAAGAGAAGGGAGGAAGACGACAAACTCTGACTACGTTTATATGACGACGTCGGAACAGAAGACACAAAAGCGGCGCCGCGTCTTCACTTTTTATTTGGTGTTTAGTCGAGTGTTTTCAGGAGAAAATCTGCTGCACAAGGCGACGCAAAACTGTGAAATTGGATTGTGTATGTTTGTACTTAAAGCAACAAGAGCGTCTTTGGACACGTGGAAGTTCTTACGCCATGCATTTTCATCACCATCGATTGGTTCTCCAGGCCTCGTCCATATCTGTCTGACTCGACTGCAACGACCTGGTGCATCCAGAGTTTGACAGTAATAATAAGTGTTTCTGCAGATTCTCTACATTTGTTGTTTTGCTTCCTGTAAGTTTATTTGAGCTGGAAATGATCCACGTTTGTTTCAGTGTCCTGTATGTTTGTGACGTAAACTCGTACACGACCTGAGCACATCTGACCAGAGTTTTGCGTCTTGGGCAGTGTAGACGGAAACACTACAGCAGAGCCCATTCAACTTTTTCACTCTGGAGGTGGTTTCAGATTTTTGCATTTTTAAGTCCCAAAAAAAACAAACAAAAAAAAAAACCGCCGTCACCGTCTAAACGAAAGGCACTTCCCATAAAATATTGTGTTTTTTTCCTCAAGTGTTCTCGTTTAAACAGGACCTGAGTGTGAGGCTGCTCTTCCTCAGCCCACATCCCACATCCCACTAACAAATCCAAACAGACGTGGATCAAAGTCCCGAGACACGACTGGAGGAGCCGGATCAAAGGACGACACGACGAGCATGAAGCACCGGCAGCATTTTAACAAGAACAAACGACAATCATGATCCAGGAACCAAATTCATTCAGCTTTAAAATCAGAATACTTCAGAATAAAGTTTAATTCCGAATAACCATCTTCATTAGGAGTCAAGTGTTTACATGGACTTTTTAAAGCAGAATTAGAGCTCTCATGTGAACGTGGCAAATGTCAGTCTGATGAGGTCTCCTATAAAAATCACTTTTCTACTGCTGCTCTGCAGAGACGTCACACTGGGGGTGTTCTGCATCTCGCATTTCTACTCTCAGAATGTTCAGCAGTTACCGTGGCGACTCAATCCACACTTCACCAAACACTGAACCAAAAAAAAAAAAAAAAAGGTTCAAGATGCTCTGAAATGTCAAGTAAAAACAGGCACACGTAGAAACTACTACTACTACTACTACTACTACTACTACTACTACTACTACTACTACTACTACTACTACACACTCCTCCACAATAAGAGCCCGTCTCCTCCACACTAAGAGCCCGTCCCCTCCACACTAAGAGCCCGTCCCCTCCACACTAAGAGCCCGTCCCCTCCACAATAAGAGCCCGTCCCCTCCACACTAAGAGCCCGTCCCCTCCACACTAAGAGCCCGTCCCCTCCACACTAAGAGCCCGTCCCCTCCACAATAATCCCGTCCCCTAAGAGCCCGTCCCTCCACACTAAGAGCCCGTCCCCTCCACAATAAGAGCCCGTCCCCTCCACAATAAGAGCCCGTCTCCTCCACAATAAGAGCCCGTCTCCTCCACAATAAGAGCCCGTCCCCTCCACAATAAGAGCCCGTCCCCTCCACAATAAGAGCCCGTCTCCTCCACACTAAGAGCGTTCCCCTTCACAATAAGAGTATCGACAATTTTCCAGACGGTTCATGGTCTGTAACAGTGACCCGGTGTCCCCTGCGACCCGGTGCCGTACCTGCCGCCGCGCCCCACTCTCCTCCGGGCCAACCCCAGACACCGGCGCGGCACCGTGAGCGACGTGAGGCTGTATCTGAACCGAGGCTGCGAGAGAGCGCCCTCTGCTGGACCACACCACGACCACGAGCCCAGAGCGTCCGGACGCACCTGCGGAGAAAACACACCTCAGTCAGGTCTTTCACCTCAAGTCCGAGTCAAGTCTCAAGTCAAATACAGGCAGGTCCAAATCGAGTCGAGTCACTGGCCCATATGTCCTCCCGCAGTGTGTCAGGTGCGCTCCCGTCCCCCTGTAGTGTGTGTCAGGTGCCCTCCCGTCCCCCTGTAGTGTGTCAGGTGCCCTCCCGTCCCCCTGTAGTGTGTGTCAGGTGCGCTCCCGTCCCCTGTAGTGTGTCAGGTGCCCTCCCGTCCCCCTGTAGTGTGTCAGGTGCCCTCCCGTCTTTATATATCCCTGTAGTGTGTCAGGTGCCCTCCCGTCCCCCTGTAGTGTGTGTCAGGTGCCCTCCCGTCCCCCTGTAGTGTGTCAGGTGCCCTCCCGTCCCCTGTAGTGTGTGTCAGGTGCCCTCCCGTCCCCCTGTAGTGTGTCAGGTGCCCTCCCGTCCCCCTGTAGTGTGTCAGGTGCCCTCCCGTCCCCCTGTAGTGTGTGTCAGGTGCCCTCCCGTCCCCCTGTAGTGTGTGTCAGGTGCCCTCCCGTCCCCCTGTAGTGTGTGTCAGGTGCCCTCCCGTCCCCCTGTAGTGTGTCAGGTGCCCTCCCGTCCCCCTGTAGTGTGTGTCAGGTGCCCTCCGTCCCCGTCAGTGCCCTCCCGTCCCCCTGTAGTGTGTGTCAGGTGCGCTCCCGTCCCCCTGTAGTGTGTGTCAGGTGCCCTCCCGTCCTCCTGTAGTGTGTGTCAGGTGCCCTCCCGTCCTCCTGTAGTGTGTCCAGGTGCCCTCCCGTCCTCCTGTAGTGTGTCAGGTGCCCTCCCGTCCCCTGTAGTGTGTCAGGTGCCCTCCCGTCCCCCTGTAGTGTGTCAGGTGCCCTCCCGTCCCCCTGTAGTGTGTCAGGTGCCCTCCCCGTCCTCCGTGTAGTGTGTCCAGTCCCCTCCCGTCCTCCTGTAGTGTGTGTCAGGTGCGCTCCCGTCCTCCTGTAGTGTGTGTCAGGTGCCCTCCCGTCCCCCTGTAGTGTGTGTCAGGTGCGCTCCCCTCCCCCTGTAGTGTGTGTCAGGTGCCCTCCCGTCCCCCTGTAGTGTGTGTCAGGTGCCCTCCCGTCCCCCTGTAGTGTGTGTCAGGTGCCCTCCCGTCCCCCTGTAGTGTGTGTGTCAGTGCCCTCCTCCGTCCCCCTGTAGTGTGTCAGGTGCCCTCCCGTCCCCCTGTAGTGTGTGTCAGGTGCGCTCCCGTCCCCCTGTAGTGTGTGTCAGGTGCGCTCCCGTCCTGGGCTCACCGCGTGGTACTGGCAGCCCGCTCTCCTCCTGAAGGCGTACGCTCCGTCGGGGTCGTTCTCCTCTTCCGCCTCCGACGACCCTGACAGCATCTGTGGGAGAAGGTCAGAGGTCAAAGGTCGGGGGGGGGGGTCATGATCATGATTAAAATCCTGGTTGTGAAATGTGAGTGAGAGTGAGTGAGTGTGTGTAAGAGTGAGTGAGAGAGTGAGAGTGTGTAAGAGTGAGTGAGAGAGTGAGAGTGTGTAAGAGTGAGTGAGAGAGTGAGAGTGTGTAAGAGTGAGTGAGAGAGTGAGAGTGTGTAAGAGTGAGTGAGAGAGTGAGTGTGTAAGAGTGAGTGAGAGAGTGAGAGTGTGTAAGAGTGTGTGTAAGAGTGAGTGAGAGAGTGAGTGTGTAGTGAGTGTGTGTAAGAGTGAGTGAGAGAGTGAGTGAGTGTGTGTAAGAGTGAGTGAGTGAGTGAGAGTGTGTAAGAGTGAGTGTGTGTAAGAGTGAGTGAGAGAGAGAGTGTGTAAGAGTGAGTGTGTGTGTAAGAGTGAGTGTGTGAGAGTGAGTGAGAGTGTGTAAGAGTGAGTGTGTAAGAGTGAGTGAGAGAGTGAGTGTGTGTAAGAGTGAGTGTGTGTAAGAGTGAGTGAGAGAGTGAGTGTGTGTAAGAGTGAGTGAGAGAGTGTAAGAGAGAGTGAGAGTAAGAGTGTGTGTGAGTGTGAGAGAGTGTGAGCGTCTGAGTCTGTAAGAGTGAGAGTGTGTGTAAGAGTGACAGTGAGATGTGTGTAAGAGTGACAGTGAGAGTGTGTGTAAGAGTGACAGTGAGAGTGTATGTAAGAGTGAGAGTGTGTGTAAGAGTGAGTGTGTGTGTGTAAGAGTGAGTGTGTGTAAGAGTGACAGTGAGTGTAAGAGTGTGTGAGCAAGTGTAAGAGTGTGAGCGTGAGTCTGAGTGTGAGCGTGTGAGTGTGTGAAAGAGTGTGAGTGTGTGAAAGAGTGTGAGTGTAAGAGTGTGAGTGTAAGAGTGTGAGTGTGAGTGTGAGTGTGAGTGTAAGAGTGTGAGTGTAAGAGTGTGAGTGTAAGAGTGTGAGTGTGAGCGCGCCCGACCTGGGAGTAGGGCTCGTCGTCGGAGCTGGGGAAGTCGTACTGGTTCAGGTCCTTGGCGTTGAACAGAGACGGGTGGTGAGCGCCCCCTGCTGACAGCGGCAGTGCTTTCTGTTTCTTCTCATATTTCCTCTTCTGTCGGGGAACTTCACACTTCTCGGGCTGAAAGCACAAAATACTAAATTAGTACAGAGCGACGGCCAAAAACACGCTCCAAGAAACCAGAGACAGATCTGTACTGGGACCAAACATTTGACAAAACAAAAAAATAAATAAAAATTTGACCTTAGTAAATCTGTGTTGACAGTCGTTAGATAAATTTGATCTGTAGTCCTTTTATGTGTTCTGTATATTTGGGATTTGTAGTCCTTTGTGTATTTTGTACCTGGGATTTGTAGTCTTTAATAGTGGTTCTGTACCTGGGATTTGTAGTCCTTCAGGTCAGCGTGTACCTGGGATTTGTAGTCCTTTGTGTGTTCAGTACCTGGGGTTTGTAGTCTTTTATAGTGGTTCCGTGCCTTGGATTTGTAGTCCTTGAAGTCGGTGTATACCTGGGATTTGTAGTTTATAGTGGTTCTGTACCTGCGATTTGTAGTCTTTTGCATGTTCTGCACCTGGAGTTTGTAGTCTTTAATAGGGGCCTTGGATTTGTAGTCCTTGAGGGTCAGTGTATACCTGGGATTTGTAGTTTATAGTAGTTCTGCACGTGAGATTTGTAATCCTTGAGGTCGTTGTATACCTGGAGTTTGTAGTCTGTTGTGTGCTCTGTAACTTGGATTTGTAGTCCTTTGTGCATTCTGTTCTGTACCTGGGATTTGTAGTCCTTGAGGTCAGTATATACCTGGGATTTGTAGTCCTTTGTAGTTCATTTTGTGTTCTGTACCTGGGATTTGTAGTCTTTTACAGTGGTTCCGTACCTTGGATTTGTAGTCCTTTGTGTGTTCTGTTCTGTACCTGGGATTTGTAGTCTTTTACAGTGGTTCCGTACCTTGGATTTGTAGTCCTTTGTGTGTTGTGTTCTGCACCTGGGTTTTGTAGTCTTTTACAGTGGTTCCGTACCTTGGATTTGTAGTCCTTGAGGTCGGCGTGGTCCTGGTGTCTGTACTGGTTGGTGAGAGGGACCAGGGGGATGATCTGAGGCCGGACCAGAGCGCGCTCCGCCAGGACTTCAGCCATCACCTCCCCGCCGTAATCCGCCATGCCGTTCCTACGCGTGGAGAGAGAAAGCGTTACCTCGGTGTGTCAGATGCCCTCCCGCCGCACAACCAGAAGGCGGCCGTACCTCTTCTCGATGATCTCCAGCGTCAGGTGCAGCAGCTCCCTCTTGCTCTTCTCTCGCCGTTTGATCATCTCCAGAATGGTGACGGCTCTGCTCAGGTCCCGCCGCAGTTTCAGCATCTTCTCGTACGACGCCTCGTCGTTCTTACGGTTCTGCACAAACGCCAAAGTTTCAACGAAAAACTCGACTTTTTTGGAGCTCAGTATTTATCGTGTCGACTCTTTGCACCAGTGAGGAGTTTGTTTTAGTAGTACCCCTCTCTCCATCTCCATCCATCCATCCCTCCATTTTCTCTCCCTCTCCATCCATCCCTCTATTTTCTCTCTCTCTCCATCCATCCCTCTATTTCTCTCTCCATCCATCCCTCTATTTTCTCTCCCTCTCCATCCATCCCTCTATTTTCTCTCTCTCTCCATCCATCCCTCTATTTTCTCTCCTCTCCATCCATCCCTCTATTCTCTCTCCATCCATCCCTCTATTTTCTCTCCCTCTCCATCCATCCCTCTATTCTCTCTCCATCCATCCCTCTATTTTCTCTCCCTCTCCATCCATCCCTCTATTTTCTCTCTCTCTCCATCCATCCCTCTATTTTCTCTCCCTCTCCATCCATCCCTCTATTTTCTCTCCCTCTCCATCCATCCCTCTATTCTCTCTCCATCCATCCCTCCCTCTATTCTCTCTCCATCCATCCCTCCATTTTCTCTCCCTCTCCATCCATCCCTCTATTTTCTCTCTCCATCCATCCCTCTCTCCTCTTTCTCATTCCATCCCTCTCTCCTCTTTCTCATTCCATCCCTCTATTTTCTCTCTCCATCCATCCCTCTCTCCTCTCTCATTCCATCCCTCTCCTCTCTCCATCCATCCCTCTCTCCTCTCTCATTCCATCCCTCTCCTCTTCTCCATCCTCTCCTCTTCCTCATTCCATCCCTCTCCTCTCTCCATCCATCCCTCTATTTTCTCTCTCTCTCCATCCATCCCTCTCTCCTCTCTCTCATTTCATCCCTCTCCTCTCTATCCCCCTCGTCTCCCTCTCTCACACTCCTCTCCCTCCCTCTCTCCCCTTCCATGTCTACATCTTCTCCGCCCCCATCCTTTCTTCTCTCAGTCTCTTTTCCTCTCCCTCTCCCTTCCATCCCTCCGTCGCTCACCTTTCGCGTCTGCATCTTCTCGGTCCTGCGTCTGAAGGCCACGTAGGGGTCGTTGGTGGAGGAGCCGTCTCTCTTCTCCTGTTTGACGGTGGGGATGAGGGACTGTGCTTTGCTGCTCTTCCTCTTCCTGCTCCAGTACTCGAACACCTCCTTGATCAGCTCGTCGTCCTCCTTCAGCAGCAGCTTCGCCTCCGGGAGACTCACCGACTGGAAAGGCACGACAGTCACCGTCAAACCGAACCAAACCAAACCGAACCGAACCCGGGAGTTCAGAATCTGAGTGAATCCTCAAACTTTTGGACCAATCACGTCTTGAATGAATACAGAAACTCACACATGCATTTATGGAAATTATTTAAAAAGGAAACTTTCTGAAGCATCTGGTTTCATCTTCACTGAGAATGGTACATGGCACCTGTACAAAAAAGGTGTCGCGGTGTCGCGTTGTTGGGGGTAAAAGGTGTCGCGTTGTTGGGGGTAAAAGGTGTCGCGTTGTTGGGGGTAAAAGGTGTCGCGTTGTTGGGGGTAAAAGGTGTCGCGTTGTTGGGGGTAAAAGGTGTCGCGTTGTTGGGGGTAAAAAGGTGTCATGTTTTTGGGGGTAAAGGTGTCATGTTTTTGGGGGTAAAGGTGTCATGTTTTTGGGGGTAAAGGTGTCATGTTTTTGGGGGTAAAGGTGTCATGTTTTTGGGGTAAAGGTGTCATGTTTTTGGGGGTAAAGGTGCGTGTGTGGGTGTACAGGTGTCGTGTTTTTGGGGTAAAGGTGCGTCTGGTATCCTGTATAAAGGCGTGTGTGTGTGTGTGTGTGTGTGCGCGCGTTACCTGCTGTCCGCTGCCCTTCTCCAAACGGTCGATCATCTCCTCAAACTGCAGCAGACTGATCTCCATCTTCTTCTTCAGCTTCAGCACAAACGCCTCATCGTCAGAGTCCAGGTCATAGTCGGGCTGCTCCGTGTCCAGACTGAACGCTGCACAGACCAAACAGACACACACAGGAACACCAGGCAACATGATTAAACCAGAAACATCCACATAAACCACGGAAAAACTCAAGAATCACTACTCCAGACTCAACGCTGCACAACAGAACAGAGAAGTGAGATCAAATACTATTAAAGTGCCACAGGGGGGCGCCAGTGGCAAATCCCATCATCATGTCATGACAGAGAATATAACCCAACATGACAACAGCAGAGTGTGTGCTGTTTGTGATGATAAAAACAAGCTTTGGTTTTGTTGCTGTGTGATCTGAAGTGAACCTTTATTAAGAGTCAGAAGTGTAGTTCAGAGGATTTTTTTTTTTTTTTTTTTTTTTTTTAGAGTGCACTGGTGTAAACGCGAGCACGTGGGGGCTGCTGCGTTCAGGGACAGTACGACGTCACAGACACAAACTGCTCCTCTGAGAAATACTAATACACACATTTGGACATTTATCTGTGGGTCTGGTGTATGTTTTTAGAATATTATTTCAACACTGTCACTTTAAGTACTAACTGTTTATTATTTTTGGTCAGTTTAACCCCGCGTTAAACACACAGAGTCCCCGTACACCGCACTGTCCGTCCGTCTGAACACTGTGTCTGTGCTCAGGGACCACAGGTGTAAATGAGCGTTCATGCTGTAACCTGCACCAACATCTCCTATGACGTCCATCTGTTACTCTAATGATGTGCACTGTCCCTGTGCAAATAAAAAGGATACAGGCAAATAGTTGCTGAAATGGGCGAGTTTTAACGTTCTGGGATTTTAAGGGCGGGTCAGGACTAAACCAGGACTACACCAGGACTAAACCAGGTCTAAACCAGGTCTAAACCAGGTCTAAACCAGGTCTAAACCAGGTCTAAACCAGGTCTAATCTTGGAGAGAGGGAAAGCGAACCCTGAGCCTCGCGGAGCAGTGTGTCCAAAAAGAGCGACGGCTGCATGTACCTCCTCGTCTCCGAGCTCTGCCCACGGTCACTCAGGTCGACACGGAAGGACCTCCGAGCACATTCAGACAGTGAGTCCTGGTTTAGTCCTGACTTAGTCCTGGGTCCTTGTAGAATTGGTGTCTGACATCATAAATCACATTATATTTCTCCACTTCTAGGATTAACTTTTCGTCGTCCATCATGAACATTTCCTTGGACACAGTGCTCGTTGTTTATGTCGTCGTTTTGACTTTGGTTACGTTATTTTGAAAGGGCATCAGAAGTTTATTTTGATAATGTGTGTTTATTTCCTATCTTTCCCCTGCTAAAAACCTTGGAGACGCGCCCTTGATGCTGCAAAATTAGAACTCCAACCTCTAAAGCAGCGTCAGCGTCAGCCGCTCGTTGGACGTGTGTATGACACTGTCGGTGTTCCACTGTCAGACCGGTTCAAAGGGAAGTTCTAAAGCTGCGCGTCTGCTGCTCGTGAGCTGAGCTGCTGCACTTACGCACCGTTGGGCTTTGGTGTGAATTGGGGGTAATACTGTTTACATCCTGAGAAGGTTTAACAGCATCAGAATTTAGGTACCGCCCAAACCTACCACACGTAGACTGGATTAGGATCAGATCTGGTCCATATTGGCCAATAATATCAAAGGAAACAACACCACCAAGTTCCTTTAGCTTCGGTGATCGAGTGTCTCTGATGTAACGTGCACCACCCCTGGAAATACAGACGTCCTTCACTAACACTGTTCACCTTTCACGACCTCACCGTTTCACTCATTTTTTTAGTGCAATTTTCCATGCTTTTTTTTTTTTAACAGTGTATGAACAAGCGTTATGCTCCTCCCCCTGCGTCCTGATTGGCTGAGGGACTGTAAACCATTGTCAGTCTCCTTGTGTCATGTCTCCTGTTCAGTTTGACAAATGTACATAAATGTTGGATCTGTATCAGTGTGATTCTGAAGTGCTGCATGTTTTTAAGTTTTCTCCCCGACAAAGACAGAGGAAGATGTAACTACCACACAAAAAGTTGGACTTCTGGACACGCTGAAGTAAGAGAGAAGTTACACGACTCTAGGCGACATTACAAAATAAATGAATCTTTGGTTTGTTACATGAAGAAGGAGGAAAATAACAAAAAGACGACAGCAGCGATAAGTTTTAAGAAGGATGTAAAAAGGGTTATAACTGTCCTGTCCTGAGAAAAGTGCTGAGGGGTTTTACAGACTAAAAACAGAATAATTGTAAAAAATAAAGCTGACTACTTTGCAGGTTATTTTTAGAACGTAACCCTGCGATAAACGAGGGACCACAGTACATTCGGTCTGGGTACAGCGAGTCATAGTAAAAGTACTTGTACTTTAACAGTACTCACGTTGTATATGGATGAGCTGCTTGGGCATCTTGAACTCCCCGGGGTACAGGGAGTCGTAGTAGGGGATGTTGCTTTCGGCCTCGGGGACGGGGATGACCATGTTGTCTCTCTTCTCTCCATAAACCTGCTGCGCTGAGATCGCCCTCTGGAGGTGGTGCTCCTACATGACAACGACAAAAACGACAAAACGTTAGGTTCAGTTCATCAGAAAAACCAGAGAAAGTGCAGCTAAAGGACGATCATGAGACTGAACGCAGTATCTGTGTCTCCACTGAAGGAGTCGCGGTCGAGCAGGAACATTAATCACAACTGAGTTTTAATAGATGTAATTAAATGTCAAAGTCTGCAGTTTTTATCCCATAATTTCCACAATCTGTGTATCGTTCATTCATTCGTTTTTCAATATAAAACCAAAAATATGAAAATGAATAAACAACTCTCTTTCTTCATTATTTGTCTCCAAAACCAAAACGAAAAAACAGAAAATTATTCGTTTTTTTCAATTTTTGGATTTTGTGTTTAAATGAAAAATGGAAAAAACGGATAACGGTCGTTTCCCGTTTACGTGACTTCTGTGACTGTGATGTCGAACTTTTGCACCGCGTACGGACTGAACCAGGACTGATCCAGGTCCAGGACCAGAGCGGGACCAGACCAGAAACTGAGCCTCAGCTTCGAGCTCCGGCCCTGCTGTGGGCTCTGAGCCTCCGGTCTGGTCAAGGCCTGGCCCCTGTCCCCGTCTCGGTCGCGGCCCCTGTCCCCGTCTCGGTCGCGGCCCTGTCCCCGTCTCGGTCGCGGCCCCTGTCCCCGTCTCGATCGCGGCCCCTGTCCCCGTCTCGATCGCGGCCCCGGTCTGGACCTGGTTCAGTCCTGGTTCAGTCCGGACGCAGTGCAAAAGTCCAGCATCACAGTCACGGAAGTCAGGTAAAAGGGAAACGGCCGTTATCAGTTTTTCATTTAAACACAAAATCAAAAACTGCAAAAACAAATAATTATGTGTTTTTTCATTTTGGCTTTGGAGACAAATAATGAAGAAAACAATTTTTTCGTTTTATTTTTGCTTTTATATTGAAAAACAAATGAACGACTGATACATGGATTTTCCACCACAAACTAATTCTGCAGAAACACTTCTCACCCTGTAGTTTAAATCTGTTCAAACTTTCTGAAATGTGACTCTTGTATTGGATTGTCAGTTCAGAATTCACCCTGTGTGTCGATTCTCCAGGACGTGTTTAAAACGTGAAACCACAAATTTAAGGTCATAATCGTAATTGTCGTCAGAAAAAAAACACACTTAAAACACCCCTAGTTCTTCTCTGAGGTGTGAAGCAGCTGGAGTCTCGTGAGCGTCTGGGACCAGGTCTGAGTCACAACACTTTCACGTTCAGAGCTCTAAAATAAACCACAGCACCACACTACAGAGATAAACGATAATATTCAAACCACAACCACTTCCACTGCGCCTCTGACACAATAAAGAAGCAGGAGAATCCCAGTCAACACACTGTAAATACAGCGTCTTTCAAAAGCCACAAAGTCAACAGACTGGGTTTTTATTGTGCTTCATTTTTGTGATTTTTAAACCGACTGCAGCATTTTGAGATTTGTTTTTCCAAAAGGTAAACACACAGATCAGAAGTGAATTATTCCACCGTTTACAGCTCAAATCTTATATTATCATCAAAAACAGCCCGAACCTCCACTTTTACAAAAGAGACAGTATTTAAATATTGAGCCTTTAGTACAGTTCCACATTCACATATTTAAAGACGACTGTGACAGGTGTAACTGCACATGAACACATCGTCCTGAAGACACTCCAACCAACACTAACCTGAGTGTTAAATACAGAGGTGAAACTAACAGTTATAAAAGGACAAATAATGTTTTTACTCCGTGTGTGGACGAGAGGAGAATCTGTGTGTCGTTCATTCATTTGTTTTTCAATATAAAACTAAAAATAAGAAAACAAAAACAGTTTTCTTCATTATTTATCTGTTTTTTTCATTTTCGTTTTGGAGATAATGATTTGTTTTTTCAGTTTTTAATTTTGTGTTTAAATGAAAAATGGAAAAAACGGATAACGACCGTTTACGTGACTTCCATGACTGCGATGCTGGACTTTTGCGCCGCATACGGACTGAACCAGGACTGATCCAGGTCCGGGACTGAGACCGGGACCAGAGCTCTGAGTCTCGGTCCCCCCCGGTCTCGGTCCAGTCTGTTTGCAGTGCAGAAGTTCAGCATCGCAGTCACGGCCGTTTCCCGTTTTTTCCATTTTTTATTTAAACACAAAATCGAAAACTGAAAAAAAAAACAAAAAAAACTAATCATTATCTGATTTTTCATTTTGGTTTTGGAGACAAATAATGAAAAAAACTATTGTTTTTTTTAATTTTCTTATTTTTGGTTTTATATTGAAAAACGAAATGATACACTGAGGAGCATCAGAGCTTCACTTTACTCTCTCCATTTGAAGTGTCCTTGGTCTGTCACCGTAACACTTCCCATGTGGTCACTTTGTGTCTCAGAGCGTGTGTGTGTGTGTGTGTGTGTGTGTGTGTGTGTGTGTGTGTGTGTGTGTGTGTGTGTGTGTGTGTGTGTGTGTGTGTGTGTGTGTGTGTGTGTGTGTGTGTGTGTGTGTGTTTGTGTGTGTGTATGTGTGTGTGTGTGTGTAATACAGTATCCAGTGGTATAAAAAGTATCAACAGTTATCAGTTTCATTACAGTCATTAAAAATCTGCAGACCTAATATAATTTATTGATCCTTACATGTGTTTACTCAGCAAATAAATGTGTGGTTGTATTTTCAGTTTAATTCAATCACGAGTTAAAACTAACAGTGTCTAGAATGTGTCTGTGTGAGGAGACAACGTTCCAATAGTTTCGTTCCGTTGTCACGTGACGATCATAAGAGACAAAACACAAGTCCGACTGCGAGAGTTTATCCCAAAAAAATTCTAGTACTTCTACAATTTGCAGCATTTTGGCTTCAGGACACATTTGTTTATGTTTTACAGAAACTAAACGTTAAACCACATGACTCATTTGCATAAATTATAATCTGTGATAAAAACAGTTGTTTCTTGTGTCTGATGTGGTTCAGTTTGTGTTGAACTAAAGGACACAGAGACTCAGTGGAATATGAGTGTTCTCTCTGTGTGTCAGAGGGGTGTTCTCTCTCTGTGACAGAGGGGTGTTCTCTCTGCGACAGAGGGGTGTTCTCTCTGTGTGACAGAGGGGTGTTCTCTCTGTGACAGAGGGGTTTCTCTCTGTGACAGAGGGGTGTTCTCTCTGTGACAGAGGGGTGTTCTCTCTGTGACAGAGGGGTGTTTCTCTCTGTGTGACAGAGGGTGTTCTCTCTGTGACAGAGGGGTGTTCTCTCTGTGTCAGAGGGGTGTTCTCTCTGTGACAGAGGGGTGTTCTCTCTGTGACAGAGGGGTGTTCTCTCTGTGTGACAGAGGGGTGTTCTCTCTGTGTGACAGAGGGGTGTTCTCTCTCTGTGACAGAGGGGTGTTCTCTCTGTGACAGAGGGGTGTTCTCTCTCTGTGTGACAGAGGGGTGTTCTCTCTCTGTGACAGAGGGGTGTTCTCTCTGTGACAGAGGGGTGTTCTCTCTCTGTGACAGAGGGGTGTTCTCTCTGTGTCAGAGGGGTGTTCTCTGTGTGTCAGAGGGGTGTTCTCTCTGTGTGACAGAGGGTGTTCTCTTCTGTGTGACAGAGGGGTGTTCTCTCTGTGTGTCAGAGGGGTGTTCTCTCTGTGTGACAGAGGGGGTGTTCTCTGTGTGTCAGAGGGGTGTTCTCTCTGTGTGACAGAGGGGTGTTCTCTGTGTGTCAGAGGGGTGTTCTCTCTGTGTGACAGAGGGGTGTTCTCTCTGTGTGACAGAGGGGTGTGTTCTCTCTGTGTGACAGAGGGGTGTTCTCTCTGTGTGACAGAGGGGTGTTTCTCTCTGTGACAGAGAGGGGTGTTCTCTCTCTGTGTGACAGAGGGGTGTTTCTCTCTGTGACAGAGGGGGTGTTCTCTCTCTGTGACAGAGGGGTGTTCTCTCTGTGTGACAGAGGGGTGTTCTCTCTGTGTGACAGAGGGGGGTTCTCTCTGTGTGACAGAGGGGTGTTCTCTCTGTGACAGAGAGGGTGTTCTCTCTGTGACAGAGGGGGTGTTCTCTCTGTGTGTGTCAGAGGGGTGTTCTCTCTGTGACAGAGGGGTGTTCTCTCTGTGACAGAGGGGTGTTCTCTCTGTGACAGAGGGGTGTTCTCTCTGTGACAGAGGGGGGTTCTCTCTGCGACAGAGGGGGGTTCTCTGTGTGTCAGAGGGGTGTTCTCTCTCTGCGACAGAGGGGGGTTCTCTCTGCGAGAGGGGGTTCTCTCTGTGACAGAGGGGTGTTTCTCTCTGTGTGTCAGAGGGGTGTTCTCTCTCTGTGTGACAGAGGGGTGTTCTCTCTCTGTGACAGAGGGGTGTTCTCTCTGTGTGACAGAGGGGTGTTCTCTCTGTGACAGAGGGGTGGTTCTCTCTGTGACAGACAGAGGGGTGTTCTCTCTGTGACAGAGGGGTTCTCTCTGTGACAGAGGGGTGTTCTCTCTGTGACAGAGGGGTGTTCTCTCTCTGTGTCAGACAGAGGGGTGTTCTCTCTCTGTGACAGAGGGGTGTTCTCTCTGCGACAGAGGGGTGTTCTCTCTCTCTGTGACAGAGGGGTGTTCTCTCTCTGTGACAGAGGGGTGTTCTCTCTGTGACAGAGGGGTGTTCTCTCTCTGTGTCAGAGGGGTGTTTCTCTCTCTGCGACAGAGGGGGGTTCTCTCTGCGACAGAGGGGGGTTCTCTCTGTGACAGAGGGGGGTTCTCTCTGTGACAGAGGGGGTTTCTCTCTGTGACAGAGGGGGGTTTCTCTCTGTGACAGAGGGGGTTCTCTCTGTGTGACAGAGGGGGTGTTCTCTCTGTGTGACAGAGGGGTGTTCTCTCTCTCTGTGTCAGAGGGGTGTTCTCTCTGTGACAGAGGGGGGTTCTCTCTGCGACAGAGGGGGGTTCTCTCTGCGACAGAGGGGGGTTCTCTCTGCGACAGAGGGGTGTTCTCTCTGCGTGTTCTCTCTGAGAGGGGGGTTCTCTCTGTGACAGAGGGGGGTTCTCTCTGTGACAGAGGGGGGTTCTCTCTGTGACAGAGGGGG